ACGGGGGTGAGGCAGAACAGCACCGGTACGCCCGACAGCTGTTCCTGATGTGAATCCCCAGGTATGGGCCGTCGTGGCCGCGGGTTACATCGAGGCATGCCAGTCTCTTCCTTGGTGTCAGAGTTTTGACACAGGCCCATATGCCCGGACCTGGAGAGGGTTGGCGGTGGTATGGAACCCCATCAGGCGAGGCAGAGCCCGCGACCTCGAGGTCGGGCGAGGCGGAGCCCGCGGCCTCGGGGGTGGGCGAGGCGGAGCCAGCCCTCAGAGGTCGGGCGAGGCGGAGCCCGCAACCATGGTGTCGGACGAGGCGGAGCCCGCGGCCTTGGGGTCGGGCGAGGCGGAGCCAGCCCTCAGAGGTCGGGCGAGATGGAGCCCACGGCCTCGGTGTCGAGCAAAGCAGAGCCCTACCCCAGAGGTTGGGCGAGGTGGAGTCCGCCCCCAGAGGTCGGGCGAGGCGGAGCCTGCAGCCACGGTGTCGGGCGAGGCGGAGCCCGCGGCCTTGGTGTCGGGTGAGGCGGAGCCCGTGGCCTCGGTGTCGGGCGAGGCGGAGCCCTACCCTAGAGGTCGGGCGGGGTGGAGTCCGCCCCCAGAGGTCGGGCGAGGAGGAGCTTGCACGCCTGGGGGTCGGTTGGAGCTATAGTCGTGCTCTTAACTGCTCGGATGAATCAATGTTGATGGTCATTAGCTCCTCCTCTTCGAGTACCCTAGTATTGGTCCCCGACAGTTAGCTTGTGTAGCTTGCTAATTACCTTCTTACTTGTGTACCTAGAAGTAGCTCCCTGACGTGATTAATTTGGTTTGAGTAATTTTATTAGTCACAATGCTTAGTTTTTATAGCTAAGTAATTTGAGCTCTCTAATTTGACTTGTGTAGCTTTGTTATTGAGCATTGCTAGTGAGCTTAGGTTTTATGCGCTTTGCATCACTAGATTGTGTAGGTGCTCCCCGGTTTGGTTGAAATACTAGTTGCATAGGTTTGTGTGACCTTGTAAGTTAGAATTGGTTAGGTGAGCACTAGCTAGCTCGACACATTTGTTGCCTATTTAGGATCTTTATAAGGTGCTTGAGAACTTAGATAGAGGGATGATGTGGTTTTGGCTAGACCGATATTTATAATTCCGTATTTATTTCGGTTAGCCGGCGCGATTATTTTTAGAAAGGACTATTCACCCCCTCTAATCCGCCGTCTCCACTCTACACCATTGTCATATCAACTTCATGCATGGTTGAAAAACTAGTTATCAAAATGCTGTCACTTCAAACACAGATTCACGTGTAATTTGAAATTTTAATTTATATATTACTTGATGCATAATTCACTGGAGAATGGAGGATAACAGGATTTGGCCTAAGAACATCCATCCTTTTCACCGTGTATCTCTTTGCAATCTCAGCCATCCGATGTACAATCCATAGAACATATTCCTAAGGAGATAAGCAGCCGGTGCACGCCCCTTGGGGACCAAAGGAATATATCTATGTGGGTATATGTAACTTTTCATCTCCAGTGATTCTGGAAAGGGAATTGACTACATTCCAATCTTGTTCCCGGCTTGTTCATGGAATTCGCACTGTCCCACACAATAAGATTTGATTTACTGCCACTTGATCTGTCCAAAGGCTACCATTTCTTCGTTCAGATGAATGGGCTTGGAAGGTTTGCATCCATCGGATGTGTTGGAGCAGCAAGTTGCAGTTTTGATTCGTGCAGCGTGCATCGAGCCATCAGGAGATCTCTACCTCGGAGTCATATCTGCACAAAGCCGTCGGAAAGATGCAGGATTCCCACTGATATTTTGAACCATCCAGGCAAGGCTTCAGGAAGATGCTAGGTAGTGAAATGGAGACTTCTTTCAAGCGCTTTGCTAGCGTTTCTGAATATATTTTAGGGTAGTGTATGAGCCTGCAGCTTTGTATGGGCTGTTTCCAAAGATAGATTGTGACTTGAGATACTTCAAATCTTGAATCTTTATTTGTGTTTGCCTCTTGCCCTGTGAAATTGGAGATTCTGGATTGAGTATTCTGTGTTGTTTTCAACTGGAAAGGGAGTATATATTGTGTTGAAATTAGTAATATTATTGCCTTGTTGGGTTTTAAAAGAAGAATATATTATTCTGTAGCTTTTTGTGTACAGAGATGTCTTGATTGGTTCTTGCAATTCTACTGACGTTCGAGTTCAGGGTACGCACCACCAGTGAGTTATACGGTCAGCTTGTCTCCTACTTAAAAGTTAAAACAATTGTTTAAGCACTACAACAATAACGGCTTTTGCAGTGACTGTGAGCCATCGCTCACTGCTTATATTCTCTTAGAGCTGAGCCATCATTAGTTGGTATCTGGCCAGCTGCTTGATGCTATCAGTCTATCACCAAGTTGCTCGGATTCAGTGGCCGCCTCTGCATCAGCCTGATTCCAAATCTTGAATGCAAAAAAGCTTGGTTCAGATTCTACTCTGATCGACAAGTTGACGAATGCGAATCCAGGTGGTCTCTGCTCCGATCGATAGGAGGCCAAATCACCTTTATTCTCACAGTTTTTTCTCGAAAACAAAATCAATATGATATTGTCGGAAACGAATACGGCACCGATGTTCCGATAATTTCGAAAACGACAATAGTTGTCGATGTTTTTGGATCACCGACGAGTAAATTTGTATTTGCGCGTCTGGCTCGGATGGTGTGCTCGAAGGACACAAGGGTTTAAACTGGTTCGGGCGGAACGTCCCTACATCCAATTTGTTGCTACTCGTGTTACCGGCACTTGGTTTGTAGTATGAGTTACAAAAAGGCAAGAGAGGGAAAGGATAAGTCTCTGGTGAAAGAAATGAACGGGTGCTGAGAGCTTGATCGCTGCTCAGCCGTGTGCTCGTGTGGTGCTCTTGTGTTTTTATCTCGTGGTTCGGTCTTGTGCGGATCTGGATCGATCCTCTTCATGGGGCGCCCTGCTTTCCCTTTTATAGGCCAAGGGAAAGCATGGGTTACAGCGGAGGAAAATGAGAAAAACGAGAGAGAGGAAGGTTTCCAGAATCGCCGGGTCCTTCTTCTCCTTCATGCGGGTCCCACCGATCCTGTAGATGTCAACAGGGATGGCTCCACGTCGTGGACATGTCCATCACTGGCGCCATGCGCAGGCGTCATCTACCGGTCATGGCGTTCCATCCCGTCCCGGCAAACGTCGTGGTGAACTGACGCGCCTGTCAGCGCTCGTACGAGGGTTAGGTATAACAGCACCGATACGCCCGACGTTGTTCTTGATGTGAATCATCATGTATGTCCCATTATGGCATCGGGTTACATCGAGTCGGGCCCGTCTCTTCCCTGGTGTCAGAGTTTTGACCTAGGCCCATACGCCTGGACCTGGAGTGGTTGATGGCGATATGGGTCCCCATCGGACGAGACGGAGCCCGCAACCCTTGAGGGTCGGACGAGACGGAGCACGCACCCAAGGGTCGGGCGAGACGGAGCCCGCGGCCTTGGGCGAGACCCCCGTAGCCTCGGGGTCGGACGAGACGGAGCCCGCGACCCTTGGGGGTCGGACGAGACGGAGCACGCACCCAAGGGTCGAGCGAGATGGAGCCCGTGGCCTCGGGGTCGGATGAGACGGAACCCGCGGCCTTGGGCGAGACCCCCACAGCCTCGGGGTCGGGCGAGACGGAAAGTGCGTCCTTCTGGTCGGGCGAGACGGAGCCCATACCTAAGGGGTCGGGCGAGACATGTTAATGCATCTTGCTCTGTCCGGAGAAGTCAGCGTGGACGCTAACTTCCTTGCTTTGGGTATCCCTAATATCAATAACTGACAATAGTCGATCGGAAAATACATCGATAACGATCGGAATTCACGAGAACGATATCCTCAAAAACAATAAACACGCCAAACTGTAGAACATGAAAAGATCCATATAACTTGAGACCTATCTCAGATGACAATGATAAATAAAGCCACAATTGACCAGATGACGAGCCGAAACCACACAGTTCACACCACCTTACGTGCAGGTGCACGCCGCCCGAGTCCGTTCGTGTTCGTGGCTAGAGTTACGGGTGCAGCAAGTGATTGGGTGATTGGCTGATTGCCTTCTTGTTATACAAATGAAATACTTCCGTATAGATAGTTCCTTTCCAAAAAAAAAATATTTGCCTTATGTGCTTATGTGTGCAGTTGGGTTCCTTTCCAAAAAAAAAAATTACCTTATGTGCTTGCATGTACGTATCGTAATGCATTGTATAGTCTATAAATAAATTAGGATTCATTAATTAAAGGCCTTTGAATCAGTAATTACCGATGGTAAATTACCGGTTAAATACGAGAATGTTCGAAAAGGATCGGAAGAGGGCAAAATCATTTTCGCTTTCGTTTTCAATTTGTTTTACCATAATCATTTTCGATTACCGCTACCATTTCCGTTTAGGTCTAAAAATCAGGAAAAACTCGAAACGATTTTCGAAAATCGGAGATTATCATTTTCGTTTTCATCCCTAGTCTCTGCATCTCAATGTTTGGGATTCCAAGTGCTGCATTCTTTTAATCTGATAAGGAAATGCAAGCGGATTCCAGAGGGAACTTCATAGCCAAAGTCGCCTATCTAGTCCAAAGCAGCCAGACAGATCACGTCCATCTCGACACACAAAGGAGAACTCTTTCAGTTCCTCAGTTGTAAAAAAAGAAGTCTCCACCGGCGTTCGTCACACAAATATTAGTAGAGATGCAGGCATCTGTATGTCCTGTGTTCTGGAGTCCCCAAGGGGGCTAAAAGTTTTGATAATTGATTGTGAAATGTGTAAAATTATGCTTAGTGGCACTCAAAGTGACCACTAGTTTTGAAACAAATTATACCCACTGATAACTCACGCTAAAAACTTTGAACACATAAACTTTTATCATCACACAACTTCAAAACATCTGCCTACTGCCTACTGAGTAGCTGTAGTCGGACGAGACAAAAATTTAGCAGGGAGGCGGGCATCCAGCATTCCAGCCATGCTTAGCTCCTCAGCTTCTTTACCGCGGGGCTTTCCCAGCCTTCTTCCCAGCTTTCCCTCTCATGCCTTTCGGGCCACCCTTCCCCTTTGCGCCTTTGCCGCCCTTCTTCCCTTTCTTCCCAGTTCCGCCAGCCCGCTTGTCCTTCTTCATCCGTGGATCCACCAACACCTTCCCTTTGCCAGCCCTCACCTGAACCCCCTTCTTTGCAACAACATACTCCTTCTGAGGCTTCTTTGGCATCGCCTTCCTGTAAATCTGGTCAATCATCTTCCTCTTTGATCGCTCGTTTATGTCATTCTGGTCCGCTATAGCATCTGCCTTTTGGCGTGCCTTGTCAAGATTCTTCATGACAACACGCTTCTTCCGAGCCTTGGCCTCTGCAACCTTCTTGGATGGGCGGGCATCAATCTCCTTAAACTGAGCCCTCATCGCAGCTACTTCCTCACGCGTAACAGGCTTCATGGGCTGCCTATGCCTCTTTTCATCCTCAACAAACCAGTTGGGTAACCCTTCGTCATCAAACATGTGCTTGTTGTAAGCATCATCAAGTATCTGTTCTCTCTGTTTCTTCCTCAGCATCTTCTTAGCATAGGCTAGTACTTCAGCCTTTCTGTAATCATCGAGATCATCCTCCGATTCATCAGAAGATGAAGATGAATCATCTTCATTTCGGACAGGTTCTGCTGGTACAATCTCAAAATCTTCTTGTTGCAAACACTGTGCTTTAGCCACCTTTTCCTTTTTGCCACTATCCATCTTCTTATTCCTCTGCAAACTCTCCCTTTCATCTTCAGTGTCACTCTGCTCAGTAACGCCGGTTGCAGCTTCTGTGAACACATCCTGACTATACCATTGCTTTACAATCTGCTCTTTAGTTGGCCTCTGTTCATCTAGAGATAACAGAAGGGGATTGGTCTCCTGATCTTGATCTTCGTCAAAATCTTGATCCATTTCAACATCACCATCATCTTCACCTCCCTAGTAAGATTAAAAGATAATAAACATCTATATCACCTTAAAACTTTACAACCTCTATTATTGTAACCAAGACAAAAGAAATTGAGAACTTAAACTTTACACCCTCTATTATTGTAAATTGTAAAAAAGAAAAAAGAATTGCATAGCATTGTACAAGTCCTGCCCTTTGGCAAAGTATTACCTCTAAGAGGTCTGCATCAGCATCAGGATTGATTCGTTTCGCACGCTTGCGTTCTTGTTTTATTTCACCACCCTTTTTAGTTACAAAGCGCTCATAAGCTTCATCAAGCATCTCCTCAAGCTGGGCATCATACCTGATGTGAACAATGATTACTTACAAACTTTTGACATGACAGTTTTCTTTTTTAGAAATATAAGGATATTTGATCACTTAATTATGTGTTCAGATGGTGTGGATGTTCAAAAAAAATTACCTCTGCTGTTCCTCATCAGAATCCATTTCCTCATCAGAGTCTTCACGAGCTTGAGTATCCTCATTCTCACTGTCTCCAATTTCATCTTCCACATCAAGCGCTGCTGATTCAACAGCTTCAAGTTCTTTTCCACCCTAAAAAAAAGGAAAATGAATATAAAAACTTAAGAATTAGATGATCATGAACGAGCATGCTCTTTTAGATGCTTTTCCAAGAACAAACCACAGGTAAAGATAGAACATACACAGCTCATTAGAAGGTTACTTTACAGAAATCCAAATAGAGTGGATAAAATTTGTTGGTGTGTTTTAGCAAAAATGGAGCCTGCTGTATTTAGAAATTATTGCATGCGGGTCATAGAGGAAACTCAAGAGAGGAAAATGAGTATTGCTGTTTACTTCTTTAAGTGTAACAAATTGGGGGAAAACAAGTTTCATGTAAAACTAAATCTCTTCCAGTGAGCTATCAGTATAAATTCTGAGGACAGATAATGCCACTAAGTAAAAGATAGCACATAACATGTCCACAGAAACAAGCATTATACCTTGATAACACTAATAGAAAACAAGTCAGGATCTCCATAATCATCTCCTGTAGCATCAATCTGCATTCCTGTGGCCTTGCGTGCTTTATCCTGGAATGAAGAGAGCCATATGTCAGCATAAATCTCAAATCAACATCATATTGCAAAAAATGCATATGTATTTCATAATACCTTTGCCCGACGCTTTGACAAACGCTTTTTCTCTCTTTTTTTCTTTCTATCAATGACACTGGTCAATTCTTCCATTTCCTGTAGAAGTACATCATCATCCGTGACCTTTGTGTTCTCCACAGCATCACTGACCTTTGGGGTGACTTGTGAAGACGCTGACAGTGCTTTTCGTAAGCGAATTCGCCATCTAACATGGTCATGCAATAGATATAAGATTTATATACTCTGCACACCTCTACTTATAGACTTGTTTGGGTTATCATAACTATTTAAATGAACAGAAATAAACCATATGGGAAAATAGAATGGTAGATAAGGTACTCACTTCAAGATATGCTTGAAACTATTCTTATCCAACAGAAGTAAGTCCTCACAGAAATTTTTTATCTGGCACAAACCAAATAATCAAACGTAAGTACCTATACAAAAATAGATGGAAAGATAAGCTGTGCAGTATGCTTAGCAATGGCATCAGTTCCTTACATCATCTGTTGTAAGCTCATGATTCTTTATGGGCAGGGATTCTGGATTATCAAATGAAATTGCATTGTAAGAGCCCAAAAACTCCAGTGGTGCCTGGGCGTCAGACCATATAAAGTCTGATGCCAAACCGACTTTCCGCAATGTCGTATTCCCTTCTTCATACCTACATACAAGTTATTGATATCAGTGTATAACAATCTATTGTGCCATATTGTTCACCAAAGAGGGCTTTGTGTAACAAAAACTTAAAGCTACAACTTCTACAGGTGGATTCCACCAAAGTTTTTCAACATAGAAAGAACAGCGTATGCCTTTTTAATAAACTTCTACAGGTGATAGGCTTGGTGAGCCAACATAAACACCCACTCACTCTTATGAAAATAACAACAACAACAACAACAACAACAACAACATAACCTTAAGTGCAGTGAGACAACATAAACACCCACCCACTCTTATCAACATAAACACTCTTAGTGATGCACCATACATGAACCCGAGTACTGGTGTTTTTGTTGAACAAATTCTACAAACTATTAATTCTTGTTCATTGTTGCTTACCCAAAGAGCAGAAAAGCACAGTTTTCTGGCTCAAACTAGAAATGACTAACTGATTATGTGACTTTAAAAAATGCCGAATTGGTGAGAACAAACATCTCAATTGCTTGCACGAAATAACAGAGCAACTTGTAAACTTTCACGATACCAAGAGCAATGCAATTATTTACATGTGAGCAGAACAAGGATATTGGAAAACAGGCTGTTATAAACTTATAACGAACGTAAGAAGTGGATATTTAATGTGAGAACTGAGAACAGATATAGGTAGAACATTATAGTCCACTATGATGTGAACACTGCTAATCGTGCTAACAATTATATAGATATAAAAAAGATACATACTTTCAGAAGGGGAAAAGGAAAAGAAGCAGGCAAACTTGATGTGAAAAGAGGGCCTACCCATCACGGTGTCTCTTTTTCCTACCATCCATGACATCCCTAGACTGCAGAGCACCAAAATTTCCAAAATTAAGGTACGCTAGCAGAAAAAAGAAAAGAAACTAGACACTTAGACAGATGATTCAGACAAGTGGTTCAACATACTTTGGTCTGTTCTGGAACCACACTGAACAAGTGCTTTATATCAAGAAGTTCTGGCTGAATCTTTGCGGGAGCCTTGTATTTCAGGCAGATGATATAAATTTCAGCAGATGTAGACCGACTTGCCGAAGGTTTAGTCGCCTCAACCTTCTCAAACAACTGCAAACCAAGATGATATTTGATGTTTCAATTAACCAAATAGAAAAAATAAAAAAATACAAAACATTTAATGAATACACACCTGTTTAAGACAGTACATAATAGCGTTGTAATCTTGAGACCTAAAAACCTGTTGAAGAAAAAGAACAGTTGATTAAACATGGATTGAAATGTGAGACAATGAGAACAACGAAAATAAAGCTGATTCAACAACTGAAGGAGATGAGTTAATAACAAAACACATGACAACTCTGCAAGGTATAAACTGTCAAAACCACTCAACATGTCAGAAGAATGGATACTACTTCACTGTGAACCAAGGAGCACATATATATACATAAACATAACACCTGACTAGGGATGAAAATGTCAAGATATCATGCTGCCACTTATTTAGAACATATTTTTATAGTGTATTTTCAACAAAGATATTTTGCATTCACATATTACAAGGAAAATAAGCATCATGCTTAATTACAAAGGGAAGCCAATGGCTGCAACATTGAGCATTCTTCTTCTGTAGAATCCTTTACCTTCGTGATGAAGGCGCCCTTGGGAGCGAGGAACATGGTAGCAAGGCGCAGTGCGTCGATGACGAGCGCCGACTGCGATGTGGCCTCCTGTGCCCAGGCACCACCGACGTTGGGCGACCCGTCGTGGAGCACGACGTCGAAGGCGGAGACGCCGTTGGAGTCCATGAGCCTCCGCACCGCGGCGCGGCACTTGGTGGTGGTGATGTCCTCGGTGAGCGAGTGGGCACCGCGGATGGGGCGGATGGGGACGAGGTCGACCCCGACGACGAAGGCTCCCACGGGGGCATGGTTGACGGCCACCTGGACCCACCCTCCCGGCGCGGCGCAGAGGTCGAGCACCGAGCGCGCCGTTGGGAGGAAGCGGAACCGCGCGTCGAGCTGGAGCAGCTTGAAGGCCGCGCGACTCCGGTACCCTTGTTCCTTGGCGAGGTGGTAGAACTTGTCCTGGCGCTGCTTCCCCTTCGCCTTGCCCATCTCCGCCGCCGCCGACGAGACTTCCCAGCGAGGGGATGGGGGCTAGGGTTTTGGAGATGGTTTTGCTCCGCGCTCCGGCGGCGGTTGGGAGCTTGCTGCTCTGGTCGTTTTTGTCGGGAGGGCTCGGTGGTGGGTACGCCGTGACCAGTTCATGGGCCTGGGCCTTTTCCTTTTATGGGCCTCCGAAAATGGGCCGACAACTGGCTTTCAATAAAAGCTGAGGTAAAACTCTTTGAAAAAAATGGGCCGAAAACATCCCGTCGCCTGCCTTCTCTTTCTTATCCCCAATGGCGGATGCTCGCGAACACATTGCGCACTCTCTGCAGTCTGCAGTCGCCACGATGGAGCTTGGCCTCGCTCTCCGGTTCGTCGCGCCGCCGCCGTTGCTGCCGCCGTGTCTCTCCCATAGAGCTCTTGCTCTTCCACCGGATTTTATTTCCCCGTGTGTGCTGCAAGGAAGACGCGTCCGCGCCTCGAGACTGAAGCGTGGAGCTGGGGCTGTGGGCAATGCGATTATGACCTATTCAGGAGTGGAAGAGGATGAGATGGTGGAAGAAGAAGTGGAGGAGGAGGAGGAAGCTGAACCGGCGGTGAGCACGAGACCGCGCCTGGAGCTCATCGAGAAGCCGGACCGGAGCCTGGCGCTGCTGGATGAGTACGAGTCGGAGGAACTTGGCTCCTCTCTTTGCGCCAATCACCGCAGCGGTTAGGCTTCTCACTTCTGTGCTTTCTGAGTTTGAAATTAGTCGGGTTTAGTATTGATTAAGCTTAGGAATTGAGGTCATGCACTTAGTTCTAAACTTTATTAGCCAAATTTCGTCCTAGTTCGTAAAGTAAAATTAAGGAGCTTGCAAAGTTGCAATGCGCAGAGCATTTTCGTCAAAATTGCAAATTGGAAATTGATCCATATTGAATGATTGGCATACTGATACGGTGTCTCCGCAGGCTATGTTGCTGTATTGGGGAAGCCAAATGTTGGCAAGAGCACCCTTATAAACCAAATGGTTGGTCAGAAACTTTCAATTGTAACAGATAAACCACAAACGACAAGACATCGCATTCTTGGTATATGTTCTGAACCAGAATACCAGGTATCAGAATTTAATTCAGTTCAATACAAATTAAGGTCCTCGGAAGTTTCTGGTCCCATTACCATCAAGGGGATCATGTTGCTTTTCACTGCTAATCTGAGTTATCATTTAGTTTGCAGATTATACTTTATGACACTCCTGGTGTTATTAAAAAGGAGATGCATAAGCTGGACAGTATGATGATGAAGAATGTCAGGAGCGCTATCGGCAGTGCGGACTGTGTGCTTGTTGTTGCTGATGCTTGCAAAGCGCCTGAAAAGGTATTGCCAGCAGTAAGAAAGAAAGTAATCCATCCTGACATTCAACCATTTTACCTTACATCTTGCAAGCTTTGAGCTTTTAGATTGATGAAATGCTTGAAGAAGGTGTGGGAAACAAAGATATTGGACTTCCTGTACTGCTGGTATTGAACAAGAAAGATCTCATAAAACCCGGAGAAATCACAAAGAAACTTGAGGTATGAACCTGATACAATTGTCGAAAGGTGTTTCCCTGTTTCTTTTGTGCTTTTCTCTGCATGCAGTTGGTATTGATTTCCGGACAACTTTTTTGACAGTGGTACCAAAAATTTACTAATGTTGATGATGTTATACCAATAAGTGCTAAATTTGGTAATGGGCTGGATGATATCAAGGAGTGGATATTGTCAAAGCTCCCTCTGGGTCCTGCTTACTACCCCAAGGTATTAGCAAAGATCATTCATATTTTTCTAATGGCATCTCCCTATGCTTTGTTTACCTTTAAATGTCATGGACTGTCCTCATATATTATAAACAGAGAGAGTCAGGTTCTGGCGCTCAGAACATTTTAGTAAATATTTTTGTCTGTGTGGTCAAGAGTGTGCTCCTGAATATCATTATAGTTGAACTTGATGTGCCCATTCCAATGTTGACTCCCGACAAATCTTGTGTTAATCTTAGTTTGATGGATGGAGGCATTGGCAAATCATCTTTCTGCAGATGGCATGGGAGATTGCTTTTTTCCATTATTCGTGAACTGAGCAATGTGAACTTGAAACCGCTAATGTATGAATTAGTACGAAATGATTACTATGTGCCCTGCTAGGTTGCTACAAATCAGTTGTGAAGAAATATTTTCTCAAAAGCCCCGACATATTTTTACTTCGTCTAGAGGATGCTAAATAATAGGCTTACACCCTTTTAGTACATTGTTACCACCCTCTTTGTTGCTCTGTGGTTTATCTCTTAAACAAGCATATGCTCTGTAATATGATTCCTCAGTTGAACTGAACCATCTATTTTTTGGTCAGATGTTGTACTACATGGGATGATTTGAGATTAATAGGCATATTCTGTTCATGTATTTAGCCATGTGGTTCATCATGTTTCAGGATATAGCTAGTGAACACCCCGAGAGATTTTTTGTTGGTGAAATAGTGAGGGAAAAGATTTTTGTTCAATACAGGCAGGAAATTCCTTATTCATGCCAGGTATATCTTCAGGTGTTTTCCCTATGAGTTTGATGCAGCATATTCTCCATCTTGATATTCTTTATTTCTAATATAATCATTTTTTTCATGACAGGTTAATGTTGTCAGTTACAAAAGTAGGCCTAGTGCCAAGGACTTCATTCAAGTTGACATACTTGTTGAGAAAGAATCACAAAGAAGCATTATACTAGGGAAGGTAAAAAAAAAAGTTAACAATACCATAATTATACATGATGTGGGCTGTTTTTCCTGGATATTTGAAATACATGAGACAAGAAATTAGACTTTTTTAAAATCTAAGATTCAATCTATTATAAAGAAAGGAATTAGGCCATGAATTCCCGGGTTGTGTTGTCTCATGTCTAATGGCAAAAAATATTCCCCTAACATGTTCCGATTGATGCAGGATGGCAAAGCCATAAAGATGTTGGCAACCGCGTCAAGGCTTGACATCGAGGATTTCCTACAAAAGAAAGTCTACCTTGAGGTTTACATACATCTTATTCACTTATATTACGTGGTCGCTGTGGACTTGCCATCTCCTGCTGCAATGCTACCATCGTGGAGAAGTTTCTATCTAACAAGTAATGCACGACTCCTTCCTTGTACAGATAGAGGTCAAAGTGAAGGAAAACTGGCGGCAAGACGAGCGGCTTCTGAAGCGGTATGGCTACGGCGGCGAGATCCAAGCACTGTGACTTCGACCCCAGGAGGATGCGCTATCACTGTTAGCTGCCGCGAGCATAGAATGACTTCACTTTTCCTTTCCATTTCGTCTCTTCTGTTGTTGTTGGCGATGCGAGTGAGTATAGCAGTTTACGGAGTGTCGCACCCAACTATCAGCTCAGTTATTAGTGAGGCCCTCCTCTCAACAAGTTCTGTGCTCCGATCCTGTTGTTTTGTCTGTGGAACTGATTTTGCTGCAGAGAAGTGAGCATGGTTGCGCTCTCTGTAGTCTGTATTAAATCATGGGAGAGAGGGTCTCAGACAGCCGAGCCAAGTGCATGTAGTACAAGTCGCTCTTTCCAATTTGTGTGCTTCGGGTGGCCGCGTGGGCGTTACCCCGCCGCCGTCGCGGCGGGTCCAGGCGGTGGCGCGCCGTGTGCCCTGCGCCGGCCGCTGTGGATACGGTGTGGCAAAGCGAGCACAACCGGTTGGAGCCGCCGCCGCAGACCGACTGACGATGAGACACAATGGTCCATGGAGCATGCAGGTCGGATCTGACGCAGCATTGACTTGGCTGCCTCGGTATCAACACTCGACTACTCATGGAGATGTCATGTAGAGATATCGCACGAATTATAGAATTCATCGGTAATTTACGAGACGAATTTATTAAACTAATTAATCCATCATTAGCACATGTGTGTACTGTAGCACTATGTTGTTAAATCATAGACTCATTAGGTTTAAAAGTTTCGTCTTGCAAAATAGTCACAAACTATGTAATTAATTATTTTTTTAGTTTATATTTAATACTCAATGTTTGTGTCCAAATATTTGATGATATAGAGAGGAAGAAATAACTAAAAGGCCTAAGCCGCCATACGTGTACACCGCAGGGTTTATTTTGTCTTGTCTAATCTGTCGAAGAAGTCAAAATTATTTTAGGTGCCCGAGCACAGGAGTTTCAGTTTTCAAGCTCATTCCTTAGGACATTCCCAACAACTAAGCTATTTGGTTAGCTATTCTGATGTGAACATAAAAAAAAAATAGTAGTATATTTACTTGGTCGTATTTGGCTGGTAAACCATGGCTTATCAGTTAATGAATAATATTTTTTTCTCACACCAAACCAGCCAACAGTACTTTGAGCCATAGCTTATAAGCCAAACCAGCCCAAGCGAACAGGGCATAGGAGAGTAGTCACTAGCCATGAATAAATAATTGATCCATTTCACATAGTTCCAGAATATGAGACAGAAACATGTAGGTCCAATAACACATAGAAAGGTAAGAATATCTTTGCTTTTGTCTGTCACCTCCACGTTGGATTACCTGTTCGCTTCTCTCCCTCCACCGGTTTCCTTGACTGCGCCGCACCGTACTCTCCTATCCCTGGACGGTGCTCGAAGGCGCCCCGCTCTCTAGCACGGCCGCACCAACCTCCGCAACTCTTCGTCTCAAATGTCAACGATGAATTCCTCGTCAGGGGTTACCGCCCCATCCCCGTCCCCGCGGGGGCAAATTTCCCCCGTCCCCGTCCCCGTGAAGGCTCATGGGGAGCACTTCTTCCCCATCCCCGTCCCTGCTCGGGGATTTAATCCCCGCGGGGATCCCCATCCCCGCAACACGTGAAGCACGCTCGCCGCCACCGTCGTGGACGCCATCGACGAACACGTGGCCAGGAGCGGCCACCTCGCCCGCGGATCTGACCACCACGGTCGCAGATCCGCCTAGAGAAGCCGCTGGAGGTGCTCCTCGGCTAGATTCGTCGCCGCTAGAGGTGCTCCTCGGCCAGATTCGCCGCCGAGCTCAAGGGAGAGGGAGGATCCGCCGCAGAGCTCGAGGGAGAGGGAGGATCCGCCGCCGGGGTACGCTGCCGCCCGCACCCGCGAGAGGGAGGTCGTGCCGCCCCGCGCGATGTCGCCACGGGTGGGCCACCACACCGAGGATCCGCCCGGGCCCGGCCTGGATCCGTGTTGCCCCGCCATAGATCCACCCGGCCTCGGCATGGATCTACACCGCCGAGCGCTGTGAGGGCCGCTCCGCCATGATCCGCGCCGGAGGAAGGAGAGAGGACGCCGCTACGGAGGGAGGACAGTGCCGTGAAGGAGGGAGGAGAGGGCGCGCAAGAGGGAGGGTGTGACAGAACCGCCCATTTTATACAAGATCAAGTACGGCTGTCCCTGCTAACACGTTGACGCGCGCATACTTTCACTTATACAAACCCGGTAGTCCGCCGAGTATCACGAAGGACCTCGGTAAATCAACATTACAACCAAGATCACGTGATTAAACAAATACACATCACATACGCAGAGTTGCAGCGGAAATAATATTATAATTGGGTTCACAAATAATAGTACAAGTTTGGGTTTTAAAACCGATTAGAGAAAACAACATAGCTTTCAAATGATTACATGAATATAAGTTCCAAATACATTGCTAGCATAAGTGACATCCTCAGATAAAAGCATATAGGTGAGAAGTAAATATAGAGTCATCGAGCCCACCGACGGTTAGCCACCATCTTCCGCAGGCCAAGAACTTCACCTGCAACATGGTGGGATAAACCCTGAGTACTCGAATATACTCAGCTAGACTTACCCATCGAGAACCAAAACAAATGACACCAAGGATTATGCAAGGCTTTCTTTAGTGGGCTAGCTGACTCGTTTGCAAAAGCATAAGCTATCATGAAGAAACCATTTTAAGTACTTTGCACCATCTTTATTATAACATATCCATCTAGGTAAGCACCTGTACTATAGCAATCACTTGATTAACCAATAACATCCAGTTACCAATTTAGATTTAGCATATCTCATACCATCCAGATAACCATCATTGTTCCATAATAATTACTACGATGCCGTAGCTCGAGTCAAATGCTCACTATCCAGGAGCGATGGCGATTCGAATCGATTATTAACCAGCTGGTAATTTATTCCTTACACAAACCTCACTCACCCGCTAAAGTGAGGTATCGGTCACCGAGTCAACTATCCAGGAAAAATCTCGAGTTTGCCAGGAACCACATGTACCCGGGGGCCGACCGACTGCCTTTCGGTCTTATCATCGCGCCCCCGTGTCCTACCACGCCTGCTCCGGTACAGTGCACTGCGGGCAATCCACTCGGCCCGAATAATCTCCCAGCTTCGCGGTCGAAAGGTACGTTATTCGGCCAGCTAAATGTAAGGCATGCGTTCAACATGACCCGAGGCCCAACAACGGTCGGTCCTTAATCGACACAGACGGAAACTAACAGCACCCCAGAACCCTGTCTGGTTGCCTCCAACTTTTCCGTCCGGTCTCCAATTATCCATCACACAGGGTTAATTCCAGGATATCATTCTTTCCATAACTAAATTCTTCCAGTAACCACCTATAATGTAGGTGACCAGATATCACCGATTGCAACCGGTCTAAGCAAGGCTAAGCAGTTATTCGATCCTGACCTAACAGGGTAAAAGATAATAAGGTAGGCAAGGATAGTAATAAATGCATCAACGGTTTCAATCAACTCCTACAACTTAATGCAACAATATATAAACTCATATATATAGAAAGAATTGCTTTTATAAATTAGGAGACTTATAATGCTCCAGGGCTTGCCTGGGATCCGACACAAGTCAGTTCAGTTAGCTTGCACCGTCCTGGTGATGTCTCAGGTCCTAGCACTCGCTTAGTCCTTCCATCTTCGGGATAGATCCTCCATACACCGTCTTCGGGTTCGGCTCCAACATCACGTTCTTCACGTGATTCATCTAGCGCACCTAGATGAGATGCAAGATGCATGTGTATGAATGTGATAAATGGTAACACAAGATGCATCACATAAGCATTCAAGACAAACCAGTTATTCACGGCAATCATAGAGTCAAGGCTGCAAACAGCAGCAGCTAATTTTACTCATAACAGGAGTTGTACTAATCCAAAAGACATGCAACAAGACAATCTGGAAAACTTATGAAATTTTCTACAATTCATCTTTAATAATCTTAGCATGATTCTCAAGCTAACTAAGTCAAATATACCCATTTACAAAAACTGGTCCACAATTGACAGAAAGCAGCCATTTCTGAAACCCAACTTTAAACAGGCATAACTCACAAACCACAAGGCCAAATACCACCAAATTTTAACAGAAGCTAGATACATGAATTATCTACAACTTTTTTATTCTCATATTAAGATGATTTTACAATTAGAAGGGTCAACTAATCCAATAATTGCATCTCTGTCCAAAACATAGACAGAAACTGACATGCCACTTTAAACAGCTATAAATGGAGTTATACATGTACTATAAATGTGATTCTAGACTTTTTAGAAAGCTTAGCAAATTCTAAACAACTTTATTATAAACACCTAAAGCTAATTATACTATTAAGAAGGCCCCACAGTAAGAACAAGGAAACCCTGTCTGGGTTTGGGCAGAAACAGCCACAGAGATTTAAGCAAGTATAACTCAAGATCTACTTAACAAAAAATCATGATATTTAACTTTTTGGAAATCTTAATAAAAGTACTACAACTCATGTATTTTCATCAAGTCATGATTCATAACTTAACTGAGCCAATTAATTCAAACATGTAGAACTATTCAGAGTAGGAGCAAAGCAATACGGGGCATTTGTTATTTTTATAACTCTTAAAATATAAATCCTAAACTCCTGAAATTTTTACCAGACAACCACAATCACCTGATTAGCACTCCATAAAAATTTTACATTTATTTGAGCAAAATAACTACAGTTATGAAAAAGACAAGACACAACTAGTATTACAAACCTAACTGCACAAATTGATTTTTACAGTAAAAACTTTAAACTAAATCATGCCATATTATAGTTCTAGTGCATAGATAATTTCACAAGGATTCCAAAAAGTCTTAATTTACTATTTTACGATTTTTCAACAAATTACTACGAATTTTCAAAGTGGAGCATTCAAATCTGCAAAAATCAGAGAAAGGAAATTTAAATCTTGCATCGAGGTCCCTGCGGTAAACACAAATTAAACTCCAGCGAAAAGGTCCTCATGAGCACTGTTCACGTGAGTCACAACTTCTTCACTTAACCCCCTCCCTTTTCCCCTATTGTCACGCGAGGTCCTTCTTCTTCCTCCATCAGACAAGAACGGAGCAGCAGCCAGCCGAGGAGACGGAGGGCTCAGCCAGCGGGGCAGCGGCCGGCGGAGGCAAGGAGGGGACGCGTTGGGGCTTGGCCACGGCCAGCCGTGGCCGCGCCTGGCCTTGGCTGGCCAAGCTGCAGGCAGCAGCAGCGCATCAGCTGAGCAGTGCCAGGACGGCACTGCCGGCAGCGGCAGGCTCGGCGACAGCAAGCGCGCGGTGGGGCTCGGCTCCGACTAGGGCTTGGAGAGGCAGTCGTGGAGCCGTAGGAATGCTCAGTGGTGGCACTGGAGGGGCTGCAGGAGAGGGAGCAGCGGCGGCAAGGAAGTTCGGCGGCGGCGGCCATGGCGGCTCCGCTCTGGTGCGGCCAGAGCGCGAGCGAGAGAGCGAGAAGGGACGGGTGAGGGATGGGGCAGCTCTAGCGCTCGGTTATGGAGGAGTAGGGCGTTCGGCAGCACGTGGCACGAGGTAGGACGCGCGTCGGCCATGGTGGGACGCGCTCCGGTGCATGGCGTCCACGAAGACAAACTGTCGAGCACGTGGCGAGCGCCGGAGTTGACATGGTGGGGAGCCGATTTGGGCCGCTTCCGGGCCGAATCAGACAGTGGGCCAAAAATGAAGTTTGCTCAACTCTGATTACTCTCCAACTTTTATTAAGGTCGCATGGTCATTAGAGCTCTTCAACAGCGGGTAATTAAGCCACAAATTGCTAGTGTCAGCGTATTGACAGCGACAAGCAAACATTCAAATTGATGGTGAAAACGAGGTCAAACTGGTGCCATCTTTTTACATGCCCTTCTCCATGAACTTAGTTCCAACTTCCATTTTGGGGTCAAGTTGCTTAACGAAATTTGGAGAACGCGAGACGTCAATGCCGATGGCGATGAATTTATAGACTTAGAATATTTCTAAGTGCTGAAATCAGCAGCAGGTTCCAACTTTGAGCCACTGCTAGACTTAGTTCCGAGCCGATCCATGGTATACTCCAAAAACAAAGTTTCTTCTACATAACATGAGCTTCAACTTTTATTTAATGTCCAACTTTAAAACAGGTGCAGAAGCTATAGTTCTACTTAGACCAAAGTAGGATCACGATAAAGCTTAAATCAAAGTTTTAGACCGAATGAGGCATTTTCTTGACCTCAGCTCAACACGAACCCTTTATGACTTTTGTTGTAGAGTTCAATTAGAGTCATTTGGGTAAGGTAGCAAGGTTTGGTTGACGATCGAGAATTCCATTCACTTTATAAAATAATTCAAGCAAGGACATAACTCGTCATTTCATGTGACTTCTTGATTCCAAACTTCACGAAACTTTTCCATGGATTAATATAGATGGGTATTGATGTGAGACACATGAAGATATTCCAATAACACCAGCCAAGCATATATCTTGAAAAGGACCTATATGTAAAGCAAGGGTGCAATATCCAAGTTTAGGTTGGGACTTATTTCATAGGTTTGACCTTGACATCTTCATCATTACTTAATATAACATGTTTGAGCTCAAACCCATTGCTTAACTGGTGGCAAACACCTGGGGTGTTACAGAGGGAGCCGGGAGGAGAGCGCTGGAGCCTGGAGGGAGGGAGAGGGCGCACAAGAGGGAGGGAGGTGACCGGATGGGGAGTGACCGGGAGGAGAGGACGCGTTAGGGTTGGATGGCACGTTATAAACCTCCGCGACTTATTGGGCCTTTACATGGGCCGGCTTCACTGCTTCGCGGGGCGGGTTGACGGGGATCGGGGTCGGAGACCAGGCAACCATCCCCGTCCCCGCCATCCCGGGGACAACATTCCTACCATATCCTTCCCCGTGGGGATTAATTCTCCTCCATCCTCGTCCCCTAATGGAAGAATTCACCACGGGGAATCGGGGATCGGGTCCCCATTGACATCTTTACTCACACCTTAACCAAACAGCACTTGAGTTTTTTTTTTATTTGAAAATTAACAGATTGCTTCAGAATTGGCCAATCTCTGCACCATTTCACTGTTCCAGTTTATACTATGCCTCAGCATTTTATACTTTGGCAGGGTTCTAAACTCTCGTGGAAACGTTTCAAATCTAGATTCTAGTAGAAAAGTTTTAAAATCCAGATTCCCTTAAGAAACATTTCTCTAATAAATCAAAATCACTTTATTAATTACCTAGCTCGCTGGACTCTTCAAATTAGAACTAGAATCAAGAGAAACCAGTTTGTTGGTGTTTATCGAGACTAGTACAAAAACGAGAATCAGTTCCAAGTGAACTCTGGCAGCGATTCTAGTGATTTTACTGAGAATCTGAAAAGTTCCTCGCAGCCAAAGGCACCCTCAATTACACCCCACAGCCACCAGTTGAATTACTCCAAAGAGCCCATCTACATCGTTTGTGGCCCGAATGGCAACCATCACTGTTTCGATACCACAAATGATCCTACACAACGTGTTAAAAAACATAAGTCTCATGGCTTAAACAAAAACACAGCATGCATAGAAGTGCAATATGCTTCTGCCGCTAACTTGATTATGCTACCATAAACTATTGAGACTAGAATAATTGAAATGAAAAAAAAGGATTTTCCAGGTTATGTTATTTTGTTGAAAAAAATCTCTGCCATTTCTTCATGATCTCTATTATTAACCAGCAGGAGAAAATAAAATTCACTTACTTAATTGACAATAGCAACTTATGATATCCAAAGCATGCGCATCATGGGTTCCTCGAGGATGGCATCTGATGGAGGACCTCATGTACAAAGAGATCCTGCAACTCCAAGTATCTGTCTCTCCATTCTGTTCCCTGTTGGTTTGGAGTGCCATTCTGAGCATTCAGCCCAAAATCAAATAACCTGGAAGAACCACCATGCTTCTGGACCCCATAAAAAAACATAAGATGCAACAGAAAGAAATATGGAAATGAAACTTGTAAGATGTATGGCACCAAATGAAAGACAAAGCAAAATCACCCAACCTGAAGCTCATCCAAGTAGCGCTCCATAAAAATGGAGGTTTTATTTCCAGGAATTGGAACATCATTTTCAGGCCGAGGAAGAACTACTGCCCGCCGTTCACCCGCCCCATTTGCTGAGCAAACTTTGCGTAATGGTTGTAGTGGCGGCAGATTTACTCATTGTGGCGTTACTATCAGAACATTGGTTACTGGACCTGACAAACAATTACATTATCAAAGCTCAGTGGTACTGCAGATTCGGGAAAAAAAGGAAACAAGAACATGATTCATAAACTATATACAAAAGGTGCATTGTATATTAAAAAAAGCATGGCCATAGAATAGTCTTAGCCTCAGCTTTAGAGATATGTAAGCTTCTGGCGAAGAATAATACGTACCATGAGTCATGAAAGTTGACTGTGTAAACTTGCGGAGACCTTAACAGTCCAGAGTTCATGTTTCAGTTATAATCAAGACATCCCATAGAACTTCCCTCAAAAAAAGAATTCCCATAGAACTAAGAGTGATTTAGGATTGATTGACGGAACTCAGCCTAGGTAAATTATCACCATTCACCTAACATAAGGAAATGTATTTAATAATGCCTTTAATGACAGTAAAAAACAAAAAAAAACATCTTTTGCCTATTAAGTGTCTCAGGAAAATATGTGATCCTTAGGTTTCTCTAGGAAGAAAGTTCTACTAGTCAATGGAGTAGGCTCGCAACCCAACCACATATTCAACGCATAAGAGTGTCCAACGTAAGAATTAAGTTTTCAAATATTGCACTAAGTTTTGTAAAGTCAAGGTAGGTTTTCAGTACGAATATAGCCTTTTTAATATAAAATAAGAGTATAACCTTGGGAGTGTTTGAATTTTCGGGTCACCTGCTGACATCTAGTATCCCACACACGAACATTACCATCCTCAGATCCAGAGACAAGTAGAAGTCCATCTGTGCTTGATGCTAAGCTTGTTACTGCCTTGCTGGATCAGTCAAAAAAAAACCAAAATCAACTTAATAGATCTCACCACATAAATGTTAGGAATTTGACACTGAAGCAGCCTATATTAAACAGAGATAGTAGATGCAAATAAATTTATTTAGATAATGGCATTGAATAACCTGCACTGCTAACAACAATGCAGATCAATGAATAATCTTTACCAAAAAAAAATAAGCCCATCATCCAGCCTATCTATAGTTTCTAAGCAGCGAATAACAGAAAAACAAATAAAAAAGAGGATGAGAATTCCTTTAGATTGAAGTTAATTAGGGTGCATTTGGCAGCACAACTTGAAGCAGTTTCTTCATGAGAATCACTCCAGCTCTGCCAAACGCCAAAATTTGGCACAGCTTCTTAGGGGAATCTAGTGAATCGCTCCCTCATTTTTCTATACCAACCACGAAGTCAAAAAAACTGCTCCCACAGATTCACGCCTGCTCCCCACCCTTCTGATTATAGACCTCCTCAACAAGTCAAAAGGTTATTGATCCACAATTGCCACGGGTATAAAAGGCCCGCAGTTCCCCATCCAGCACCCGTTTGTCCCAAAGCACCGCTCGGAGGGGTCCGAGCTTTTCTCTCCATGTGTGGGCAACTGCAGCGCTGCCAACAGGACTGGCCCGATGCCAGCCGTCCAAACAGGGGAGCTCTGCGCCCAGGTCCATCCCCAGGACACCCACATACCCCCCCCTCTCCTAGCTAGAAATTAAGATTCGGTACAGTTGGTGTCAGTCGACCCCAGGGGGGCAACCCTACCATACCCCTGTACAGGCGCACCCACTCCCAGCAGATCGAGCTCCGGTGTCCACCTTCCACAGGCTGCGGTCTCCATATTGGCCACCGTTGTCTTCCTCTAGGTCAGAACCACCGATGTCCAGGCTGCCTCTGGTCGTCCCTCATCCAGACCAAAGGTCCTGGCAACACAACTTTGTTTAATGTTCTGTTTATCAAAGCATAGGATGAGCCCTAGTTAATTTTGATTTGTTCAGTCAGCATGTAAATCAGGTATTCATTTATTTGTTGGTGGTTATATACTACTTTTGCCATAGGATGAACAACAATGGCTTTCGTAGTTTATTAAACAATTGGGAAGATTGACAGGGGCAAGCTAGATGCCTGGACCCTGTAAGAAAATGTCTGATTATTTTGTTCTCTTTTGGGGACTTTGTAATCTATTGGACCCCATCGGTTTGGACTTTAGAATATGATGATTGTACGATGCAACTTGTGGTGTCAACAATTAATTATTGGCATGTTGGGTGAAGAATTTCTATAGTCAATTTGTCGTTACACAAATTTAACCAGCATGTATCAAACAATGCATGCCTATTCATGATATGTATTACAGACTTTTGTTCAGACAGTCAGGGGTACTATGGAAAATTACAGCTTAATCCGCTCTTTCAAGAATCACTTCACAGTCACAGCTTGCCAAACGATTCTATCAGACAGAATAAATTCCAAGTTCCAAAGAATCAGGAAGTGGGGCTGGAGAATCAAGGAGTGGAGCTCTGCCAAACATACAGGACCTTAAAGTGTTATATACTTGTACATTTATTATGGAACACTTAAGTGTTAGGAAATGTATTAATATTTATTAATTATTTAATTTCATCATTAGTTATATTGTCAGGATATAATAATTCTTTAAATCGTATTCAATTTCCAGTAAAAAAATGTGTGAAAACTCTAATTCGAACCACCCCTTTCCTTTCATGAACCACTGCAAATAATATCCTTGCAAATGCAGTTACCCTAAGGCTGTGCAGAATGTACATGTTGCCTGTTCGATCCCCGGCTACATTCATTCCTAATGTGTTGAGGAAGAAAAGAATTTCCATGTTGCCAACTAAATTCCAAAGTGGATTATCATTATTATTTTAAGGTAATGTCACTAGATAAGATCTATGATTTCCGTTATTCCTTTTTGCAACTTACTCTATCCCTCTGCCCATCAATCGGACTAGATGCAACATGGATGTCCTAGCAATTCAATTTTTATTCATTCAAGTCTAAAGTAAAGGTTGAAGATATGGAGCCTTGTCAAAGCTGAAAACCATGCCCATATTGTATGCACTTCCTATGGGTAAATATAGCGGGTCATGCTCTTTTAAGTGATGAACAATTATCTCATGGAATTTCATGTTACGAGATACTAGTAATTCACAGCAGTAATTTTCAAGAACAAGACAAAAAGCTAGGTCAGGCAAACCTGTGGTCATCCAATGCGCCCAGAATAGATGACTCATCACTACCATGAAAACTGAGATCAACACCCATAGCAGTAACATATATCTTTCCATCTCTACCACCAGCATAGAAAATATGACTTCTTGGGTCTAGTGCTACAGAACCAATGCTAGTAGGAAATGAAATGCTTCTTAGCATCCTACCCTCAGATAAACTCCAAATCTGCAGATAAGAACAAATGCCATTACAATATGTAGCCCAAGATGCTACTCCCTTCGATTCCAAATGTAGGTCGTTTAGGACACTGACAATCTCCAATATGACACTTTGCCTTGTAATGTTTGTTAAAATATACCATTTATATAGCGAAATATATACTATGGAAGTATTTTCCATGATAAATATAGTAACATCAATATATTGTCAATCTATGTAACTTTTCATGCTTATGATCCAAATTAATAAAGTTTGACCAGATACGATCCTAAGACCTACATTTGGAATCGGTGGTAGTACTAGTTAAGTTATAAATAAGAGTGGCTAACAAGAACTAGAACAAATAAATAACCGCATATAAAACATTCAATTAAAAAAAGAACAAGAGTTGAGTTGCACACACACTTTGCAGGTTCGATCCTCTGAAGAAGATATAGCAATTGCTCCAAGAAAACAAGCAATATCAGTTACAGGCAGTGCATGCTGACTGAAACTATACATGTATGGTGTCTGGGCCTCCAGCCTTGACTGCTCATCAAGCACCCTGCAACCAATACAACCAAACCCAATGAACACTATAGTACTATACAAAAATAGTTTGACCGATTTTACTACACAAAACAAACATGCGTGATGAGATCCCAAACTTTGATACTCCCATCCTCTGACCCTGAGACAAGCAAATAGTCATACAGCGCGAGGCACCTAACAGCACGATAGTGCGCATGCCATGTGTGGAGCAGCTCTCCACTAGACACCTATAAACCATCATAAAATCCGATGGGTCAGATAAATAGCTTAGACAATGTTCAAATTTAACCAGAAAAGTGCTGGATGGATCAGATCCAGATATATAGCATAAACTGCAGACAGAAACCAAACTTATAGGCACATAAGACACCAGCAAACAGAGGAAAGACATAATTAGTTACCTAATACTGTACCTGTGAAAATACACCGAGTAAACATGTCAAATATTGACACAACTTTGAGAGAAAACTGAGGATTACAATGTGTTTCTGCTTAAGTAACATTAAAACACCAATGCTCAAGTAGAAAAATGGAAGGGGGGAAAAAACACATCATGACGTTACGGAAAATGTCTTCAGGTGCTAAATGGACATATGAGTAAAAAGTAAAAGACACCCGGTGGCATTTGATCATGGAAATTTAGACTGGTGTATACACGAATGCCGACAGCATAGTTTTCTAATGGTCACAGTGAGCTTCTTGCGCGAAACGCACAAATTGTTAACCTATGGCATAGTAATTAGCTTCTAAAACTGCCAGGTTATTAAGTGCTAAAGAGAACACTAACGCAAAATAAGCACCGCCTTAAAAGTTTTAGCACCTAAAACACACATTCGTTCACCACCCCATACAGTGCAGCGCACAAGCTACAGAAAAAAATGTTCTACTGCAAGAAGTCTAACAAAGTTTATTGTACACATATTTCATTTCAGAACTAAATAACCCCAACTATTCTTTTCCAAACCAACTGGAAAGAAATGAAGGCCCTGGTCCAATTTTGATTAGTCACCGCCAGGGGCATCCACTTCACACCACCTTGAGCACGCTAATAACAAGCAAAAACACTGGAAACATTCCACATCAACCTCAAACGACAGCACACCAAGCATCCAACAGCACATACTAACAGTTTCAACCCATCTCAAAGAAAGCACAATGCCCTCACCTCCCAAAGGAACATATTGCCATTGCTGCCACCGCCGATGAGGTAGCTCCCCTCCTGATCGGCGATAAGTGCGCGGATCGGCTCAGCAGGAAAGCTCTTGACGGCCACTTGCGGCTCCAACCGAAACCAAGAAACGACTCGGGGTCATGGGTTCGGAATTCAAGAGCGCCGTTCGGGGTTTTATGTAGAGCGTGCTTACCTGGTCCCAGTTGTAGAAGTGGATGGTCCCGGAGTTGCCGCCAGCGGGAAGAGCCTGAGCGGCGGCGAGGAAGCGGTCGGCGACTGAGGCGAGCGACCAAGGGCGGGAGGCGCAGGGGCAGAGGCGGATGTCCTCCGCGCCGGTGCGGAGGTCCCAGGCGGCCACGCCCGCGTCCGCAGATGACGCGGCGAGCACCAGCTGCTTTGGTTGTGGCGGCGGTGCCATGAGCAGCAGAGAGGGCGAGATAGGAGAGTCCGGCGCGGGGCAGTCAAGGAAGCCGGCGGAGAGAGAGAAAGAGAGGAGGCGCGACGACGTGGGGCGAGGCGACGGCGGCGCGAGACGGAGAGTTGCGGAGGCTGGTGCGGGAGAGCGGGGCGGCGCTTAGGTTCGACAGGGTGGCACTGTGCACCTCGCCGACCACCAAATTATCCTGGCCCGGGGCTTTGCTCCCGCGCATGGGCCGACGAATTCCTTCGCTCCTCTCCTGCGTATGGGCCGGCCCGTTCCGCATCTCGCGCACTCGCTCGCCTCGCTCCGGCCCGCTCTGCAACTCGCTCGCGAGATGCCGCTCCGCATATCTCGTGGCACGGACTCCGCTCCGCTCGTGACTCGTGAAATGATAGATCGATAGGAGAGCAAAACTAGTGTCCTAGAGAGGAGATCTGATGGCTAAGAAAATATTTTTCCACCACTACAACATCTAGATGATTTGAATTGATTATGAAATATTTATACTATTATTACTGTTATAAACCGTATCGGACCATTTAAATAAAAAAGTATTCCACCTTCAAGAGAATAATATTCTAGATCAAAATATATCATAATATATCTCATGCAATAATGAAAAAAACCCGTAGTACATAAAACAAAATATAAAATATAAAAAAGAATGCAATAAAATAATAATAATCAAAAGTAAAGGAAAAATAAAACATATCATGAAACATCTTAAGGGTACCGATATACGTGTGAATAACTGGAAATATATCAAGGAATTTCAGAAGATAATATACGAACAACTTAAAATATATTGTAGAACATATCATGGATAGTATGAAAATAGTGGAGAATATATGGTAGAACATCATATATATACTATATAAACAACCTAGTGTTTCTGATGTGCTAGCGCAGAGGATCAATCACTTTTCTTCAACGGGTGTGAGAAGGCAGGCCTGGAAGTGCAACACTTGGGTGATCTCGTGTACCTCATCAGCAATGAGTAAGAGGTGAAATTTGTGAAAACGAAGGCACACAATGGCATTGTTAGACCAGCTCTGAGAGTCTTTCTAAATCTACTCTTTAAATTATCATTTAGAGAGTCATTGAGTAAAAATCTTTTTTATATATCTTTATACTCTCCAACAGTTTTGCTATATTTTGTGCGCAGTTTAGAGAACCATTCTCGCTCTTCATCTTTAGCTAGCGAAAAATCTAGAATAGAGGATATCTATTTGTGGATATCCAGTTGAAGGGTGTATTTTTCTTTACCAAAATCTCTATTCCTATAAATTAAGAAAGATATAAAGAGTCTTTTAGAGATGTTCTTAGAAGATGGTTTGGAGTCAGTTTTGTTAGAAATATTTTATTCAACTTTTGTGAGGATGACATTGGAAGGACTTTTTTCGCTGATTCTTGGCTTGTTCGTTTGGCTAATTAGTTATGGCTGAAAGTATTTTTGCTGATTTATTATGAGAGAAAAATATTATTCGTTGGCTGAAAAAATACGACTTATAAGTCAAGCGAATAGGACATCTAGTCATGTGACGAGAGATCAGCTGCAGCGCAGCAGCAGCTACGACTACTGAGCGACGTGTTTGGCCGTGCACAGGACCATATACATGCATGTCGGAGTATTATACAATCTTGCTAGCTAACGTCAAAGCGTGACCTAGAATCATTGACGAGGAACAATCATAGAAGAATCAGCAAAATAAGAGATGACCGTGCTAACGACGTGTTGTGAAACTAGAGATTCCGAGTAGAGCAGATGAGGAAGAACAATCACAGAAGATAAAGAAAATAAGAGACATAAATGTATGTGGATCACTTCTCTTTATATTCAATATAATCAACTTGTGTTCAACACGGGGCACTAGGTGTATATAGGGGGGTAGGATCGATCCTATTCATGGTAAGATTCTTTGTATTAATAAAGTAGCCCACACGGCGTAGGACTAGGACTAGGCTTTCCAGAGTCTTCCTAGTTCCTCTTCGATTTGGTTTCATAACATATAAAACCTTACTATTTGAAGTTGCAAGCTAAGTTTGCCTTATTCTAGGTCACTTTTTTTGCCTCGGCAGGAAAAAGTGACTAAAACCTACTTATCCCATACACTGCTTCCTAGTTACTCCCTTGGTTCTTTAAACTGCTCCTCTGTTCCCATGAATTACCTTGATAGTGACATTTTCCCTCACAATAGGTCACTATAAGGGGCTGATTCATGGGATTGAGGAAGTAATTAATTCTTACACTATTATTTATCCCCTCCTTTTGACTTTTAAGCCTTACTTTCAGGGATATGAACCTAAAATAAAATATCATGCTCACAGTGTCTCCAACATCATTGCAAAGTTTGACTTCAGAAACTAACCGTGTTTTTCCATGTTGAGTTGTGTCCACAAAATACCTCCAAAACATCATGCCACACATTGCTTCCAACATCTTGTTTTTCCATGTTGACATGCTCAGCAGTGTCTCCAACATCATGCCACACATTGCCCAAAGTTTCCTATTAGAGTTTTTCCATCTCTATATATACTTCTATAAGCCATAAGCCTCAACCGTGTAAGGTTTTCCATGTTGAGTTAAGGGATCCAAATCATCAGAATAACAGGAGTTCGGTTCATTACAAGATAAAGGCTAACCACCCGACTCGCCGCCCCAAAAGCTCAAGGCTAAGCCCCGCCTGACGCCTATAGGGGCGGGCTCGGTCTCGCCCGAGGGCCGAGGATAAACTCCGCCCGCCGGAGCCTTGAGGGCGGGCTCGGTCTCGCCCGATGAGGGAAATGAAGCGCCGGAGGGGGAGTCACCCCGAAGAAGTTAGCCCCATCGATATCTTCCCTCATAATGATGGGTCGCGAGACAAGGCGTTTGGTCAACCATGGCTCCAACGACCATACCTGCGGGAAAAGGACTGCCAGGAACGCACAGGGGGCTGAAGCTTTAGACCTTCCAGGCGCCCAGAGCCCAAAAGGTATCTACAGTGCGTGCACCTCACCCTCAGAGTTGTAGGCGCCGCCAGCCTCTGGGACGGAACCCGACGAAGATATCGACAACCGCCATTAGAAAGGATTTTTTCCATCGATGGGTATTATATACTTCACTATAGCGGCGCCCGCTATCGACCCCTCGGGTCCTGAGATAAGAAAAGCTCATAAGTCAAAACCACTGCATCTGCAGCCGCATTGTAACATCACCCGATAATAGTGAAGATTTGAGACATCGACAACATTGTAAACACTTATCTTCCTTCGCACTCATCGAGTGGAGGACCTTTAGACGTGAGCCACTTCTTTCTTGGGAGGGTTTTCATCTATAAAAGGGGATGCGCTTCTTCCATCAAGAGGGACGGAAGAAAAGGAGGACAAAAACAATAAAACTCACACACATTCAAGCGCTGAAGCTCTTGACCACCTTTCAATCCTTCGATCGGAGACTTTTGTCCTCTCTCGGCAGTTTGTATCCTTACTACGAGATCGTTACGGTGCTATATTGCAAGAATAAAGCGCCGGGCGTGAGGGACGTTTATCAGTATAAATCCTGTGTCCTTTAGCGCACCATCCGAGCCTAACGCGCATTACTATAAATTCACTTGTCGGTGCTTGTACGAAACACCGACACCATCGTCTTGAGATAAGAAAAGTTGTAAATCCCCGACGTTTGTAACATCACCCGATATAGTGAAGATTTGCTGGCTGGTGCCCGTGTTTTTCCCCTTCTTCCTTGGGAGGATTTTCCACGTTAAAATCTCGTGTCCCCTGTGTTTGATCTGCCGTTCTTCGTCGTTTATATTGCCTATCGTTTCTAACATTCCGAACTCTTCAAGTCCATGAACAACAGGATCACCAACTGTGTGAACCACAAAATTTTGAACTTCATTAAAAGCTTCTTCAGCTAAGCTCACTGCGCTGTGATAACCTTGTTCTGCCATGTTTGGAAGATTGTCGAAGAATTCTTTCAAGGGATGTTCTAAGTAATCAGTGTAGACATTCACAAGAACATCTTCAACATGCTGAGCTACAATAGATATAACACCTGCTTTTATAGCTTCCTTGAACATGCCTCCCAGTCGGTATGGAACTTTTCTGACCCATACCTGCCTTGGCATTTCGCACCTCTGTTGTTGCTAGATATGTACGGCTGCAAAACAATTGCGTCACGGTTAAATTAAATGTTGACCTTGCTTTTATATAAGTAAGTTTCCTGGTGACAGGCTAAGTTTTAAAATGGTAAAATATATGTGGTCAAACTTGTTACAAGAATCAAATAAGATTACGATGAAGGAAGAAAATTCAAATCTACGAGGAAGAAAGTCAAGCCAAGAAATGTGGCCTTAAGGAACCAAGCTCTTAACTGAGCAACAAGTTAACCTTGAGTGGTTCGGGTTTTTTTTTGAAAGGATAGCAAAAAATTTGTTGTATTTTTTATTAGACTTTATTTTTAGGCAACAATTTTTATTAGACGAGGAAAGCGAAAAAGCACAGAACAAGAGAAGGGACTCGTAGATCAAAGAGAAAAGGGATTTCACCTCAATTTGCACAGGGGTTGTTCTTAGGTCTTCAGCTCTTTACTATAGGGTGGAGGACGAGACAAACAGAGGGGCTCTATTTATAGCAGCAAAGCTGGGTTTACGTATACCTTCACTTTGTAGTCAGAACCCGGGGCCTAGTACTAATCTATTCTTGTCTTGTAACAGCCGAGTGATTCGAGATGGTTCTGGAACAAGCATAAATTGAATTATTGGCACCTCCATTCCACTGCTGGATTCGGCCATATCCATATGCCATATTCCATTTTCTTTGTGGCCTTCATCGTGCTAGGTTAAATCAGGAAAAAATGCTATGATTCAGTTCCTCTTTTGTTTTTCTTGGGGGCTTCTGTGCATCCGATTCGCAGAGGTGTAGCTATGCGAACCAGCTTCAGATTGCTGCCGTGTGGATGCGGCTGCCATCCGACGCTCGCCGGCCGGTCGTTCCGCTCCCACACCTGTGTTCACAAC